AAAAAAAATTGCAATTTTACATCATTTTGTATGTTTTTAGGGTTGGAAAAAAGAGAGGGTTGTGGCTGAGTTCTGGGATGGAAAGATTATTCTTGTTCTTCCTGATGATCCTAAGTATGCCACAAAAAAGGTATGCTGGCAGTGATTGGTTCTAGTTTAAACACTTGCTCTGTCCAGCTAAATCTCCAGCATTTCCTAACCTATGCTGCTTTGTTTCAGGCAGAGGACGTGAGACGGATTGCAGACAGTGAATTGGGCTTTCAGCAGATCACCCTCAGTAGCCCGAGCTCAGCTAAAACCTACCTGTTCATTAACAGCGACAGGATGGTGGTGGGATGTCTGGTGGCTGAAAATATTAGACAGGTGAGTGTTTAACAAACCATTTCTAACATTTGACTTTAGTTCAGTATCATTGCCATTCTGAGCTATAAAGTAGTGTTTCTGTGTTTTTAAAAGGTTTTAGTTTTCCCCCTCCACAAGTTAAGGACTAAAAAGGTCTCAAATCTGAGCAGAAATGTCATGGCATTAAATGTTACATGCATTGCAAAAAAAAAAAAAAATCCTTAGTATTTTTTCCCCCCAATACAAATGTCTGAACATTGTTAAATCAAGATACATTTACTTGAGATGCAATTTGAACGTCTTGTTTTCTGAGAGATTGATCAAAATTGAGTTTATGCTTAAAACAAGAACAAGTATCTTTCAAATCTTTTCACTTCTTGAACCAAAATCTAAATTATGTTGGTTTTTCTGAGCCCATTGGTAGATATTTGTTCTTGTTTTAATTGTAAATCCACTTAATTTTGATCAATTTCTCAGAACACAAACAAAACTATTTTCATTTTGCTTCTCAAGTAAATGTAGATTTAAGAATCTTTAGACATTTGTACTAGAAAACAAGACAAAAATACTAATTAAGAGCATCATTTTTTTGCAGATTGATAAGAAGGTACAGTAAAAGTGGTTTCCATATTCTAGTGGTTAGGAGCAGAGCTATTCAAGCCTTGAGCTATTTTTGTGTAAAAACTAAAACAAAAAAACAATTACCATCAAAAAAAACCTGCAGAAAGCCTCTTGATCTTGACTCTTATCATACCCAATATCAATTAGGCTTTTCGGGTGCTGGAACAGCAAGAGAAACCCAAAGACATGAGCAAGGAGGATTTCATGGAGCACCACAGAGCCTGGTGCTGCTCTACCGTGCCGGAAAAAGCCATCTGTGGTGTCAGTCGCATCTGGGTTTTCAGTCTGATGAGGAGGAAGGGCATCGCCACTCGCCTTCTGGACACAGTCAGGTACTAAACATTTTCAGCGCATTCATAACAAAAAAAAAAAATGTATTGTGGGAGGTTGCTTCTGTATATAAAATAGTTTCTTACTGATTCAGGACTACTTTCATGTACGGGAGCCACCTGACCAAAGAGGAAATCGCCTTCTCTGACCCTACACCAGAAGGAAAGCTGTTTGCTACGAAGTACTGTGAGACACCAACATTTCTGGTGTACAACTTCATCAGTTAAAGAAAAACGTTTCCTGTAGGTTTTAGTATGACTGCATTTGTGAATGCTTTTGTAAGTTTTTAATAGATAAAAAATTGTTAGATGTTCAAATGAAGTTCAGTCTAATATGATAAATCTCATGTAGTGTTCCAGATTTGTTCAGGAGAAAATCCATGTTTTACTGTTGTGTAGAGATTGATGGATTGTCTTTGACAGTGAGTTCATGAAATCATATTTAAGACACTTTACATTAGCACGAATGCAAGCTTTAAGGTTCCTGTTTGGAAAATTCATAATTTCCTTGAAGTTAGTTGTAAAATGAACAAGAACTTTCAATTGAACTGCTCCTTGCTTTTGACTTTGTACATATTTTTAAATAAATTGTACTTATTCGTATATTTTGTATTGTCTTTGTGTAAATGTCTGTCATAGTGTGAGTTTCAGGAATTTTTTTTGGAATTATTCACATGGTGTATTTAAGAGGGTTGCCCATTGAGTAATTGATGCACACCATTTCTATTCCATACCCTTTAATAACTTGTAGAGTGTAATATATATATATATAAAGTATATCGTTAGGTGAATGATCTCTACTTAAGTTTTTAGTTTGTAATTAAACTTTTGCCTTAACTTGTTAATTTAATTTAGTCTTGTGTGAAAAATTCAAATATTCCTAATAGTTTTAATTTCTCAGCCCATAAAAACTTGCATTCAATCATTTTAAAAGAAACCGCAAGATGCTTTAGTGCAGAGGTTTTCAAACTGGGATCCAGAGGGTGCAAGTGGGTCTGAAAAAAATATATGTGAGAAACTTGTTAAACTATATACTTGGGACTGGATAAATGTCATGACAGCCATTGTTTTTCTTTTACTTTCTGTTGTCAAAATATTGTTAGATGTATATGTATCCATGGCATCACAAATCTTTGAAAACCTTCAGTTTAGAATATACTGTAGTAGGTAACAAAACAGGGCACGCTAACTTCACATGGAGATTTCCATGTTGAATATAAATTACTCATATTCAGCTATTTGCGAGAGGAAAAAAAAAAATTCCATCCATCCAAAAATTCCAAGTCATTCATTTAGCATGTGTGCTGATTTTGCACACAAAGACCATGGTTCAAAAACAGATTTTAATTCAAATTGCACTGACAACTACAGTATCTAGAATGTCTGAATAGAGTACATAAGAACATATGTAACATGACTAAATCCTCAACAGAAAAGTATCTACAACGTGAAAATGCACCAGCTCAAAGTAAAATTATAGACAGAACAGTAACCAGACCCAACAGGCAAGCATACAATATATTTTACAGTTTAACAGTGAACATTTAATCAACTACAATGACCTCACTGCTTTTGTCACAAAGCTGGGTGTTTGACTCCAGCACCTGAACAATGTGAGCTGCAGAGGGTCTTTTATGAGGGTCTTCTTCTGTACAGAGACAGAAGAGCTCCACCATCCTCTGATAAGCCCCTCCGAGAGTGGCTGCGTCCAAAGCCGGCCGAGTTCCCAGTCTCTCATAATATGCATCTTCATCAAAATCATCCTCATCAAAGGAGTGATCTAAGAAAAATGAAAACAGTCATTAAATCAACTTAAATCATGGAAAAGTGTGAAAATTGCTAAATATATTTAATATAAGCTAAGGATAAAATAGTAAATTTACCATCATCATCATCACCCTCAGTGTCCAGCATCTCCAGGTGAGGAACAGAAAGTGTCATCATCTCCCACAGCGTGAGTCCATACGCAAAGATATCAGCTTTATCTGAGATAACTCCATCCTCCAAAGCTTCCTTAGGCTTCCACGGCTCCGTCCCAATGTAGTGGGCCTTTGGGTCGCTCACTGAAGAACAGATTTGAAATATCACAACACGGACAAGCATGTTGCACACAACATACTACAAGCCTTCTACTGTCTGATAGTTTATACTTTATTAGAAAGTAAAATGCCTTTTAGTATCATTCTAAAAATGATCGACCTTCAGGTCATGGTGCATGTGCCTTTTTGCTGTGAAACCTTTTCTGATTTTCACGCAAGAAACATTTTACATTTTATATTGTTAGTAATATTTCAAGATGAACACTTAGTCGACTGAAGGCTAGCATGATTACCCACACATCATTTTTAGAAAAATCATGTTAACATTTAAGTATCAAACATGATAAAACAGACTTTATTGCATTTAGCTAATACGTTCAGCCCCCAACAATAAAAACTTCAGAACTTGAATCAAAAATAAGAATTTAAATATCACCATTAGACATATTACTGTGAGATACAGTGTAGTGTGACAACTGATATTTATATGCATTTTATGTAAGCAGTCTGTTATAAAGATCTCACTGATTTACATTACTAACTATCAGAATTTCATCTTACTTTTTGGCCATATAAATATCTGCAACTGCAGTTTTTGTTTTTGCCCAGTTTGGGGTCATAAAAGCCTGCTGTATCAAATATGACACTCAACAAAAACACATATGCAACAGATTCTTCAGACTATTATTTCATATGTCAGATTTCATAGGATTAATAGAGTGGTTCTCAACTGATGGGCCATCATTCAAAATGATTAAAAAAAATGAAAACCTAAAGTAAAAGAATATGATTAAAGCAAGGAAAAATAATGCTGAAATCTTCAATCTTTTCATACCCTGCATGTTTTCATCCAGTGGCAGTGACACGCCAACATCACAGATTTTGATGCTTTCAAAGTGGCCCTTGATGACAACGTTGCATGATTTCATGTCTCCATGCAAAAGCTTTTTCTCATTGTGCAGGTACTGAAGAAATAAGACAAAACACAGAAGTAGAAGCCTGAGATTACGTAATAATTACAATATTTAAAGATGAGGAAAAAGCAGTAACAGTACATTTGCAAATATCTGATTTTACAACCACACCTGTAAACCATGTGCGACATGAAGAGCCACTTTTTCAATAGTGGCCACTGGAAATGCCTGTAGACCCTCCTCTCTCCTCTTCTCAATGAGGTCATTCAGAGACTGCTCTCCACCGTACTCCATCGCCAAACACTTAGAGCCGTCCTTTGCTGTGGTAAAAGCTCTGAAGCCTTAAAAACAGACAGGAAATAATTAATTTAAAAAATGCTTGTCTTATAATTTTCACATTGCCCTTACATTAAAATGTAATATTTTAAAGACATATTTACCAACAATATTGGGGTGATGCAGGTCTTTTAAGATCTTTGCCTCCTCGCACAGACGCTTCTGATAAACGGTCATTTGACTTTTTGCACACTTGCTGTTGATCTTCTTAATGGCCCATGGTGAATGAGTGTGCTTGCCCATCCTGATGTAAATAGTGACATAGATGTTTCAACTTTTTCATGACACTATAATGGGGTAGGTAGCATAAACATGCATCCAATATACTGTATGTATGTACCTGTTCATAAGATAGACGTTGACTCCAGTCCCACAGCCAAGCTTCTTCATGAAAGGAGAGGCAGGAATGGTGACTGGGGTTCCACATGCACTGACTAATAAAACAGTACATTTAAGATAATTAACTATTTTAATGTTTTCCAGAAAAGGGGAAAAAACGACAATATTTTGATCAAGATGGGATGTTAGACCATCTTGATAATGAGAAAGTCAATGTAACGTCTATTGTAATCATAGCATCAGCCGTTTAAAGATCACTTTACCTGGACTTTTCACTTTTGCAGGCTTGCAAGGCGTTTTAAAGGCACTAGGTGATTCTTTGTTGGCCTCCATTTCTCTAAAATGAAACAATAAAAGATCATATTTTTGTTTAACTTACATTGTTACAATCCGTAAGACAAAACGACAAACGTTACAAACAAGTCTAATCACGCTATACTCAATATCAAACGTCAATTCATAATGCGTAATATGACTTATATAGATAATGTAAACAATTTCAATTACATTAGATAAGAAGAACTTCAGAGATGCTGAAATACGCGCTCGTATTTGAAAATCACCGGTTAGTTTGACGTCAAACGTACGTAAAGCTACGGTGTCCGTAGAGGGACAAAACTGACTGAGTACGTTTTCGTTTTTTTTTTTTTTAATTCAGTTCTTTCTCATTCTCCAGTGTTACTCAAAATTTGAAATAAAGCTGAAATAAAATATAAATATTATATTAAAAGTAATAAAATGAAATAAGTTTAAGCTGAAGCACTAAAACTACTGGAATTAAATGAAAACGGAACTAAATCTAAAATAGCAATAAATTAAACCTAAATAGTAATAAATAAATAAAATGACAAACAACTAACATTAAAATGAAACCGACAAATAAAGAAACAATAATAATAAATAATTCAAAATATTAATAGAAACTATTGTAGCATATAAATAATACTAAAATAACACTGGCCCTTCAACGAGACGCCTTTTATTTCAGAAATGTTTTCCCCCGTTTCTTTGGGTGTCAAACGCACAAAAGTGGGAAAATAGCGCACATTTAATGTAGACTAAGCTACCGAGTAACGTCTTTTTAAACATATAGGCTGTTTGATGTGCATACATTTATGGTCTATTAACATTATATAATATTTGTTACTTCTATTTTATTTAATGTAGTGTTATACAACATCACACAAAAAAACGCCATTATCATGTAAACAAGTGAAAAATACTTACCTATGTCCACTAGATGGCAGCATGTAAGCATGAGAGTTGCTTAATGAACTAGTTTTGTGTGTGTGTGGGGGTGTGTGTGTGTGTGTGTGTGCGTGTGTGTACCTACTTAACATATTTTGGGGACAAATTTGTAAAAGTGAGCTAAACCTGACAAAATCTCCAAAAACCTCCCTTTGGGGACGTCCTCATTTGTAAAACTGGTATAAAAATAAAGTAAACAAAGTTTTTTTTTTATTAAAAAAAAAAGAAAGTTTCCTGTAAGGGGTAGGTTTAGGTGTAGGGCGAAATAATATACAGTTTGTACAGTATAAAAACCATTGCGCCTATGGAATGTCCCCATTTAGATAGCTAAGTAAACGTGCATGTGTGTGTGTGTGTGTGTGTGTAAATAATATTGTTTAAATGTTCTGCTATGCCAAAGGCAAGTCTACATAACCAAGTGGCCCGTGTCCAAGCATGCTTTTATTTATTGGCCATAAATCATATTGAGAATGGGAACATAAAGCCAAAAACCAAACAAATGCTTCACGAAAACCAATGTGATCAGTACACAAAACACAACATCTTTTCTGCTCATGGCTTCAAGCATGACATTAACTTTTAACACGTTTGGCTCTGAGGGCTTGTGCTATATTGTCTGGCAAATTGTCTTTCATACTATGCCTTGAGCAAAATGAAGAGGATAATACTCCATGCTGTGCCATCTATTATAACTGAAAAATGATAACAAAAGCACCTGGTACTC